TCTACCTTATGATACCTCCATCAGTGAAATAAGAGTGGCCCCTATGTGACCTCTCAACCATCCCAAGGCCTGATCCAGTACTGCTCTAGTGGACACATGAGTGTTGAGCTAAAACAGAACATCACATTGTGGACCTAACGGAATCTGGCCAAGAATCTCCACGTGGCCAAGGGTAGAGCACAGGGGTTAGAAATCACAGCCCTGTATTCCACTTAGAGCCTGCTCCATGATTCTGTGTGGTCTCAAAGAAGTCTCTTTCCCTCTCTGGGCCTCTACTTTCCAGTTGTAAAGAGGAAGAATTATCCTATTTGCAACATCAACAAAAATTAGAAAGTGCCTGGGAAAAAAACCTACCAGGAAATAAAAAAGAACATTATGAACAAGGGTATACAGAAGAGCTAACTGACTAAATGGGAAAGTATGTGTTCATGTAAAGGTAAATCCCAGATCAATGTATAAATGTATTGCAATCACAATTTTTAGGAAACTTGACAAGATGATTCTAAAATTGATATGGAAGAATAAATGCATAGAAAAATCAAGAAAATATTAGGTGAATGAAAACAACAAGCAAAAGAGGAAGTTCACCCCACCAAACAAAATAACACCCTAGTAATTGTAGAAACATGATATTGGCTCAAGGATAAATGAGTAGATCAAAGCAACAGAATAGAAATCCTACAAATCAACTGATGTGTCACAGGCAGAACAATAGCTTCCCAAAGATGGCGTTCCTGGAACCTGCGATTATGTTATGCTACAAGGTATATTAGCTTGCCAGGGCTGCCATAGCAAAATACCACAGACCAGGTAGCTTAAACAACACCAATTTTGTCTCATAGTACTGGGGCTGAAAGTCCAAGGTCAAGGAACAAACAGGGTTGCTTTTCCTCTGAGGCCTCTCTTACTAGCTTGCAGATGGATGCCCTATTGCTGCTTTTTCACATGGTCTTTTCCTCTGTACATGCACATCCCTGGTGTCTCTTCATGTGTCCAAATTTCCTCTTCTTATAAGGACATCAGTCAGATTGGATTAAGGCGCATCCATATGACCTCATTTTACCTTAATTACCGCTTTAAAAGCTCTATCCTTCCATACAGTCACATTCTGAGATATCAGAGATTAGGGCTTCAACATATGAACTGGAGGGGACAAGGGAATACAGTTCAGTCCATAACACATGGCAAGGAGGAATCAAGGTCAGCAGATTCAATCAATCTGCTGACCTTGATTAAGACAGGAAGATTGCTGTGGTTTGAATGCTTGTCCCCTCCAAATCGCGTATTGGAATTTAAACCCCAATGTGGCAGTCAATTGAGAAGCAGAGTCTTTAAGAAGTGTTTGGGCCAGGCACGGTGGCTCATACCTGTAATCCCAGCACTTTGGGAGGCCGAGGCGGGTGGATCATGAGGTCAGGAGATTGAGACCATCCTGGCTAACATGGTGAAACTCCGTCTCTACTAAAAAATACAAAAAATTAGCCAGGCATGGTGGTGGGCGCCTGTAACCCCAGCTACTCAGGAGGCTGAGGCGGAAGAATTGCTTGAACCCGGGAGGTGGAGCTTGCAGCG